AGCATTTTGAAAAATCAGGAGATATGATTTAAGAGCAGATGCTCTGAGGCAGAGAGCAGAGTGATAATTTAGGTTCACACTGCTGACTCCCTCTTTTTAAGTTTATTTATCTTTAATTTCTTCTTAAACAATAAAGTGCCTTTTTTTAGACACAATATCAGTAGTCTTATGGTAGTCTTATGGCAGCCTTCAACAATCTGGCAGCCTACAAACCTATCAGACGACAAACCTCATCTTCCCCAGCCAGGAGGGCTGGGGGGTGGTGGGAGTTGTAGTGCAACACATTTAGAGGGCAATAGATTGGGAAACACTGTCTCACATAAAATAATTCAGAAAAAGATATCCAGTGATCAGAGAATGTTTCCTCTCAGATATATTCCCCCTGGTTTTTGAAGGCTTGCAGACAGGCAGTGTGCTATAGTGATTTTAATGTTGTACTAGGACTCCAGCAGACAAGGGTTCAAATCCATATTCAGCCAAGTGACACTCTGGCAGCCTAAAATAAAGGCAATGGCAAATCTCCTCTGAATAAATCTTGCTACAAAAACCAAATGATTGAATTGCCATAAATTGGAGTTGATTCAAAATTTCATAACAGAACAATAATTTGAGGGCTCAAACTAGGGCTGACAGGTGTCCCTTATTTGAGGGCTAGAGATCTTGTCCCTTATAGGACTAGTAGGTCTCCTTTGTTATAAGGTAGTTGCTGTCCGTCACCAAGGTGCTGACTTATGGTGATCCTAAGGCAAATCACAGGGAAGATTTGTTCAGAGATTTGCCTTTGGCTTCCTCTGAGGCTGAGAAAGTGTGACTTACCCAGGATCACCCAATCAGTTTCCACGGCTAAGTGAGGAATTGAACCCTGGTCTCCAGGGTCATATTCCAACACTCAAACCTCCAAATCATATTGGCTGCCAATTATTTTCAATTTAGAAGGCTTTTCCATTTATGTAGAATGAACAAGATACCAAAATGAAAATCCATATTTTTACCTCATGGTCCCTCTAAGACAGAAATAATTGATGAATGTAAATAGTCTGTTAATTTTCAAAAGAAACACATGGTTAAGTGAAATGAAATCAATACCTTCATTTGGTATTAAGGTAGAACACAGACTTGTTAACAACTACTTCTTGATTATCAGCCCTTTATGCTATAAATTTTGGCTGTCCTTTATTGCTATTTTGAAAACCTGTCAACAGTAGTTCATGCACACGCAGTGAGTAATGAGTTCCATTCCATTTACTCAACTGATAATCCTTCAAAATACAGATTTTAACTGAGTATGAATTCAGGGAATGAAATAAACTCTCAGCACTTCATTGTTCATTTTAATAAACCCTGTAGCTGAGTGCATATGAACATTGATGGATTGGTGCATGTTTTATGCATCACGGCTGTGAGATTGCAACAAGGAAGATAAATATGTGTTAAATTAACAGAGTAATCTTACTCTAGATTTTTGGGGTGCTGACACGAATACAGTACGCATAGCTCCATTGCTGAGCCTACAGGGCCTGCCTTTGATAAAACAGCAACAATCTAACTAAGAACATCAGGCAGAATTGGAGGCATGGTGGAAAAAGAGCTTATGGTTCTTAAAACTCATAGAATCATAGAATCATAGAGTTGGAAGGGACCACAAGGACCATCCAGTCCAACCCCTCTGCCATGCAGGAACTCAAAATCAAAGCATCCCTGACAGAGGGCCATCCAGCCATATTTAAGGACCTCCAAAGAAAGGGAATGACCCAGGGATATTGGGTATGTTTAGCCTGGAGAAGAGACAGTTAAGAGGTGATATGATAGCCTTGTTTTAATATTTGAAGGATGTCATATTGAGGAGGGAGCAAGCTTGTTTTCTGTTGCACCAGAGAATAGGACCTGGAACAATGGATGCAAGCTACAGGAAAAGAGATCCACCTCAACATTAGGAGGAACTTCCTGACAGTAAGAGCTGTTTGACAGTGGAACACATTCCCTCGGAGAGTGATGGAGGTCTTTAAACAGAAGCTGTCAGGGATGCTTTGATTGTGAGTTCCTGCATGGCAGGGATTGGACTGCATGGCCCTTGTGGTCTCTTCCAACTCTATGGACTTTATCACACAGGTAATAAAATCAGCTTATCTGAGCCAGCTTAAAATTTAAAATGGGCAGCATCCTGATGTTATCAGAAGGCTCTAGCTGCTGAATCCACCGCGCAGGTCCAACCCTGGTCCAGCCACACTCCGAGGGGTGTTCCAGCAGCCATTTCCTTAAACTGGAAAACCCCCAGTTTTGAAAAGAGGCACGCTGAGCACCCTGCAAGCAGGGATGGACTTGCGTGGCGGATTTGGCAGCTAGAGTATACGAGGGTGTATCATAAAGTTTTAATTATCACTTTTTAAAAAATTGACAGAAAGTTTGTTTTGATTTGTAGCTGTTAATGTATCTCTATGTAGTCACCATCCAGATTTACATATTTTTCCCAGTGTTTCTTGACCCTCCAAATACCGTTATTGTAAAAGTCTGCAGATTGCACCTTAAACCACTCTTCCCCTTCATGAATGACATCATCTTTGTTGTCAAATCAGCAACCTTGTAATGGACATTTCATTTTTGGGAAAAGAAAAAGTTACTTGGTGATGATGACACTGACAAACTTTCATCAATATACCATAATAACTTCTGGGTGATAATTATTACATTACGATACCCCCACATACTTCTCTATCTTACACTTTAGTCCAGGGGCCAGCAACCTATGGCCTGCGGGCTGGTTCTGTCCCAGGTCCTGGCACTTACCGGCCCAGGTGGACCCCTGCCGCTGCCGCCGCCACTGCGCACCACGTCCGCTGTGCGTTTTGGCCGTCGTGCAGCCGCGCGCACCACTACCGCCATTTTAATTTCCAAAATTAAATT